ATTGTATATAGTTGCAAGAATCTTAATAAAGTACTAGTGTGGCTGCTTAAGAGCAAAAAAAAAAAAAAAAAAAAAAAGAAAGAGTAGTATTTTTATTAACTGAAGAGTTTGTTAAATTTTAAGGTAATAATTTGATAAAATTAATAAATATCAAATAGTTTTTTATTTAGTTGTAAATTTTATTAAATATGTTAATAAATTAAATTATAATACATTGCATATCTATACTAAAAAAATGATTCATGATATAAATAAAAATATAAATTGTTATGAGAGTTTTAATCACATGTTTGAATAAATGTTAAAAATTTGACAGAAAACTAGTTAATAAAACTAAAATAAATTTTAAAGAATCCTGTTTTAATGCTTCATTGAGTTTATTTTGTTTTTGTTCAAGTTCTTCTATTCTTTTTTTAAGATCTTTAATTTTATCATCTTTATCTTTCATTCTATATTGAATCATTGTAATTATTGAAGATGTTGAGCTCATAATATGTTAAACTTCAAGGTCATTAAATATGTTTTCTATTTTTTCATCTAATCTCAGATCTGTTTTTCTTTTTATTAAAATTTTAAATACTATATCAAGAAAATGTTGTTTTGTTATTGTTCGAGAATTAATAAAGAATTTATTATTTTTTTCTGTTTTTATATCATATTTGTTAAATATTGATGGATCTGAATATTTAATGATATTATTTAACAATAAGCTTTTTAAAAAACTAATTTCTTTATCAGTGCTAATTATGATGGCTTTATATAATTTTAAAATTTCATTAACACTTATTGATATATCTAAATTTTTATAACCTTGTTACATTAGAAATGATTGTGTTTTGGGAATTATCATATTAATATCTTCTTTTATTTTTTTCATTCTTCTAGAGGTTTGTTTTTGTTTTTTATTATCTGTAACATCATCTAAATCATCTTTTTCTAAGATTTTATCAATTTTGTTTAGATATTCTTGATTTTTTACTAGTGGTCTAATTTTTTTAAAAAAAAATTGTTTATTATCATTTGGTTCAACTATTTTACTAAAAGTTATTACATTATTTTCTTGATCGAATATTTCTTTTATTGTTTTGTAAAGATAATTTTTCTTGATTATGTTATTAACAAATTCATCTACATCTTCAATTTTATATATTGAATGAAATTGGTTATTTGATTTATCAATAAAATATTGATCATATTCATTATCTTTATAAATTTCAGCAGCTTTTTTATGGAGGTTTGAAGAATATTTATTTTATTTTGATTACTTAGTTTATTTATTTCAGTATCAAAATAATTATCATCTTGTAATGTTTCTATATAATTACTATAAGGGAATTTTTGTATATAATCTAAAAGCAGTTTTCGTATCAAACAAGATACTTTGTTTTTATATTTTCCTTTTTCATCAAATAAAGATTCAAAAGCATCATTTATATTATCTATTTTTTTCTGATTTAGTATGATCCTTCATTCAAAAAATAATTGCTTTCTCAATTCTTGTAATTAATTTACAGTACATAGTGAATCCAAAAAAGGTTCTTCCAAAGTTTGGATCAATAGATCATATTTTTCACTATCTTCAAATGATTGTTTATTATTATCTTCTTTTATTTTATTTTCAATAACATCATACAGTAAAGTATTATATCTACATTTTCATAAGTTGATTAAAGTGTTTTTATCTTTATCAGTTTTCATTAATGTTTGATTGAAGTTTTCAATATTTTTTGCTAGAACATTATCATTTGATAGTAGAACAACTTGTTTTCTATTGTAAAAATTTGCAATTTGTCTTTCATATCTATCATATCTTGAAATTTCAATCTCTTTTTGTATTAGTTGATATCTTTTTCATCTTTTTTGTTGTAATATAATTACATCTCTATTATCTTTTAGATTTTTATTTTTGAGTTCATATATTATAATATCTATGCAACATTTATCATTTAACAGGTCACCAGTTTCAATTTTAGGAATTTCTTCATTGATTTTATTATATTTTTCATTTGATAATGCTTTTAATTTCTCATCATGTTGTATATTTAAAGCAACTTTTTGTTCTTCAGACAAGTTTCTGCTATTTCTAATTTCTCTAAACCAACATCTATTCACTTCTAGATTTGGTATTTCTTTTTTATAACATATTCCATCTCTTATATGATTGAAATCATTTGTGCCAGGTTGTGTTTGTTCTAATTCTCTTATACATTCTTCTTTGAGTTCATTAAGTTTTTGTTTATCATCATTTTCTAATTTAGACTTGGTAATTTCAAAAAACCAAAAATCTTTTAATCTTTCTATTTCTGTTTCATTTTGAATTCCTTGTTGAATTCTATTGAATTCTGCAATATAATCAACTAAAAAATCAAATCTATCTTTTCTCATTTTTTAAAATTCTTCTTTTAATCTATCTATTAGATTTTGACTACCAGTAATTTGCATATACCAGAATTGAAACTCTCTCAATCAATTGATTTTAGTTTCTTCTTCAATTCCAGTTTTGATTTCATTATATCTAATAATCATTCTTTCTTGATTAATACGTAGCATTTGTAGTTCATTTTTTTGTTTTTTATTTAGATTGGAATTTTGTATTTCTTTATCTAAATTACCATCTTCTTTTAATTCTTCAAGATCAAATGTTTCTTGAATTTTTTTTTTAATTCTTGTAAATACATTATCACCTTTTTAATACTCAATTGTTGCTAATCCTGAAAAAAACAAATTCAGTAATTCATTGTCATTAACTTTAGGTTTACATCCAATATTTTTTTAATATTTGCAATTTATATTTTTATTGTTAATGGTACATTTACTCATTTTGAAAGTTAAAGAAAAAATAGCATTTGATTTCTTTATTTATATGATTTTATAAAGATCTATTAACCTATCTAAACATCATTTAATTTGTTTAACAAATACATTTCATTATGAATTTAAATATGAAATTCATTTAACGTAAAAAGATTTCAATTGATTTTTTTTTAAATATCATAATTATCAATTTTTATGACATTAATTTTAGTTTAGTTTACAAAAAAACTCTTTCTCGTAGATCATCAAAACAAACAAAATTAACAAAAATTTAGAAAACAATACTATAAGTTCCTTATAATAATATAGTTTTC